AACTTGTGATTTACGAATGTTTTAACGATATATTATATAAACTGACGTTAGCTCATTAGAATCCTAGACGGGAAATGGTTATCAACGTGGTTACTAGTCGGTCGGACTCCGACCGGCTATCGACCACTTTGATAACCGGGTCGGAGTTAATTGTCATATAACTCGATAATATGTTATGAAGTCATGATATTGTTGAGATTATAATGTATATCTTGGTCAGCACATGAGCCGCTAACGACCCCTGAGGGCGGAGACACCATCTCTATCTATAAATACAAAAACAAGCTTTAGACTTTAGCTGCATCTATAAATACAAAAACATGCTTTAGACTTTAGCTGCATCTATAAATACAAAAACATGCTTTAGACTTTAGCTGCATCTATAAATACAAAAACATGCTTTAGACTTTAGCTGCATCTATAAATACAAAAACACGCTTTAGACTTTAGCTGCATCTATAAATACAAAAACACGCTTTAGACTTTAGCTGCATCTATAAATACAAAAACACGCTTTAGACTTTAGCTGCATCTATAAATACAAAAACACGCTTTAGACTTTAGCTGCATCTATAAATACAAAAACATGCTTTAGACTTTATAGCTGCATCTATAAATACAAAAACACACTTCAGGCTTAAGCTAAATATGTATAAATAAAAAGCGCGCCGAGGGCGTTTTGTGATAAGTTGTGGTTTTTAACACAAGCAACGATAATGTTTAAATATGAGATTTATTGCCAGGTCATAAAACCCTAACGTTACAAAACCCTAACGCATCTGTTTTTAGATGGGTCGGGTTATAGAGGTCCATACAGATGCATTAGTCATGAAACCTACAGTTCATTAGTCCTTGAGTTTTATTTGTATAGAGGTGTTCTGTACTCTTGACCTGTTTTTGGTCATATAGACATAGTTGTAATGACACTAATGTTTATCAAATCGCGGTGTTATGTACCTTCAGTGGATCTGTTTGCAGTTGGGTCGGTATAGGGCGTGAATTCTGATAATTTGTTTGTAGTAATCGATCATTAAGATGATATGAATCGTAAATCTTAAAGTTCGTTAGTCCTTGTTTTGTTTGTAAAGAGATCTATAATCTTTATATACTGAAAACTTACTCCTTCATAAATATAATCTTTATATACTTTTTAAAACTCCTCACCCCAGGCGGTGTTTGTAATCCAAACTACAGATCAACGGGTAATAAGGTTATATTATATATAATATATATATATATATTGCATGCATAAAACTAGTTTAAGTCACCAATGCACAATCTGAAGTTTGTGAACCTCAACTAAGCCTTTCACTTGTTATAGCTATAAACATTGATATCCATTTACTATTATCATACCCCAGATAATAAAACATTGGGTTAGATCCCTTTGTTGGATACCTGGGCGTGGCTTTGGCACTTGGCAGCTGCAACTTATCCCTAGTATAGTAGTAGTAACAATTAGCAATAGTAGCGGGCATGGAAGTTATAAACGTTGTGATCCGACCATTAAGATCAGCTTGAACCAGTTCAGCAGGGTGGAGTAAGGAGATCCCATGTTAGGAATTTCACAATATCCTAGCAAGTTGTGGATATTTTACGCCTCAAAATTGAGCTAACTCAGTTAGTAACATCTGCTTTAAAAAACCTTACACAGAATATTTCCGGAGCACGCACCTGATCGGTAGTTCTAATTTAACTCGAGTACATTCTTGCGCTATATAAATATTGTAAATATAGCGCATATACTTGGACACGTTTTGCGATAGGTACTCGTAAATTAGACCGCATGGCTAAACGGTCCATTTTCCAGCTTCCTACTCAGCTGTAAGTTATACCTTGGCCAGAACAGAGAGAGAGATACCTTGGCTAACTCTAAGTGGTACCGGATACGTGTAAAACTAAGTAGGAAACTGGCAAGATCAAGTGCGCACTACAGTACGATTACCCAAAATGGTACTGTTCTCTATTTTTCAAGAGGTCCATTGTCCGAGCTTTTCATAATGTCCTTAAGCTAAGTAACATTATCTCACGTCATTTTATCTCAAGTTAAATGTTGAGATCTAAGTTGTATTGTTAACTTTTCCCATTTTTACTTTGGGATCGTTTAAGTTTAGCTCACTTGTCACCATCCCCTTTCGTAAACCGCTTTGCGAATCGAGAAATTTCGCGAACATTTCCGAATCCACTGTAAAAAGCACCCATAAAACTGCTGGGGTATACTTTAATATGGTCATCCCCTCCCCACTGCTGAGATACTAACCAAACTGCTGACTGATCAGAAATGCAAGGGAGTGATACTGATATTATTGTACAGCGCAACTTCAGACTTTTGAAATTGGGGACACTTCGCTGGCATGATACCATAGTGATCGGTCTAGTTTTGTATAAACACTATCGTTTACACAAATTACACCATTATTACTATACTGATTGACCCTTCGACCAATCCTATCAAAATTTGCTCTTTCAAGACATTGGTGTGGTGGTTAGTCACGTGCCACAATGTAAACCTTCGGTTGGTGGATCTTCTTCCGATGCAAAGCTTTAAACGGGCTGACACACAGTCGTTAGTGTCTCGTGATCCTTAACAACTATTGGCTGAGCCGCAACCCCATACGCAAGACAACAGATAAAACTACAAAGTTTATTATTACGACGGAAATAGACAACAGATAGATAACGGTTCTGGTAACACATCTGTTTTGTGATAATTACGGAGAGGTTATTATAATTATGCGGAGAGGTTATATAATCATATAACACACGTAAACACACGACCCACTTCCTAGCATCCACAGAGCCTACGTTATTTACAGCGTAGTAGACCCATTTCTAAAAAGTAAAACAAAACATCTACCGAGTTAACCTATCTAACAGTAAATACTACCGAGTTAACCTAATTAATAGTAAATACTAGTGAGGAGTATTTAGTAACAAAACATCTACCGAGTTAACCTAATTAATAGTTAATACTAGGGAGGAGTATTTAGTAACAAAACATCTACCGAGTTAACCTAATTAATAGTAAATACTAGTGAGGAGTATTTAGTAACAAAACATCTACCGAGTTAACCTAATTAATAGTAAATACTAGGGAGGAGTATTTAGTAACTCAGGAGTGTGTTACTGTTAGGGGGTCCATCGCCATCCTTAAATTTTGATAAGCAAAAATAACGGAACTACGACTAATTTAGCTGAAGTTACACGATGAGCTTAAAAGTTAAACCCCGAGTCAAATATCGTTTTGTTGTGTGTTGATATGCTGCTTTTTTTTAAATTCTAGCTTTTATTTGATTGCTCCAATTTCACATGTATTGAAAATTTGATGATTACCTTACACTTATACTAACAGAAAGAAGTTGACTAAGTCTAACTCAATGTCAAACACATCTACAGTGTCTTACAATACTGATAAACTGGGAGAGCCTCACTACAGAATCTGCGATGTCTTACTGGCGACAGTATTGTGTGTTTGCTTCTTGGTGGGATTTCCAGGCAACATTTTGTCTCTGAGATACTTTCTTTCTAAACCAGGACGAAGCTTATCAGTTAACCTGTACATAGCATCATGCTGTATCGACAGTGTTACCAGCATCTTCCACCTGCCTGTAGCTGCAGTTCTGTTTAACCAACGGAACCCTGGGATAATGGACAATCCTACCTTTTGCTCATTCTGGTACCTGATATTTGATTTTCTACAACAGATGTCGATGTTCTTGGTTTTGTTAATGTCGGTTTCAAGAACTCTAGCCATCATGTTTCCTTTCTTTAGAATTAAAAAAAGGGCTGTTATTCTATCATTACCAGTGTATGCGGCGTATTTAATCCTAAGTTTCTTGATCACACATATTTCAGCATACACATTGTTTACAAAGCCAAATATTTTATGTTTCACTAATCCAAAAAATTATTCCTTGGGTTTGGTGTACGAAATAAGTTACAATATTTGTATTGGTGTTCCTCCAATATTAATAACCGTGGCTTTTATTGTGACGATGATAAAACTGAGAAAAGAACAAAACTATGTCCAATCAGCATCAAGGAAAAAAATGTTTCAAGCTTCCGTGACGGTATTCTACTTTACAGCAGTGTTCCTGGCTTGTAATTTAATAACTTTCGCCGGCTGTCTCTTGTACCTTGTTACTGTGAAGATTCTCAACGATTGGGACCTATATTACGCAAACGAGTTCATGTTATTTTATTGGTGGTTTTTGTCGAGCCTCTTCTGCATGGTGTTAAATGCAGCACTGAACCCGATTCTATATTTCTGGCGGATGAAGGAACTGAGGTTGTTCATTTTGACCTTAACACATCAGTGAAGTTAAACCAGTAAATGTAGCTGCTTTATGTGCTCAAATAGCGCTCTTATATTGGGGATTATCTACAGGACAATGGACATTATTCTATCACGATTCACCTAGCGAGATTAATTTGTAAACCACTATTCGAATATAAAGGCAATTGGTTTTTAGTTATAAAATTTCACGATGACTAATGAGTAATATTTTAAAAACAAAATTTCATCAATATTTAAGAAATTTAAGAATTTTACTTTGAAAAAATCCAGATAATAGGCAATTTATCATTAGTACTTCATGTATAATTATTAATAATACTATTCTTAAACTGCTTGAACTGAAATGTGTCAATCCAAGCTTAAAAACAGAAAATCATTTTATTTTTTATTGGATCCCGATCAAAATAAGAATTCTTTGGGTTGAATCAGTGCCATTCTCTCCCCCCCCGGCCCCCGGCCCCCCGGCCCCTCTCTACTAGGTCCTTCTCAGTGGTAACAAGCTAGTCCTGAAGCTAGTGGTGAAAATTTATGGTGCCGTCTCAAAGTCTAAAATGGTGGTCGGCAGGAAGATACCGCAACCACATCAAAAAATAAAATGCATACATACGATGATCGCAGTACAACGTAAAATTCAAGACAATAATAATTGATAACTAACTAAAGTAAACTTCAGATATGTGATAAGTGAGCTGGCTAAGTCGTACAGGACCCCTATTCCCTCCCAACAAACAAGAGACACCTTCTGTAAAACTACTCTCCTAATAGTTCTACTTACCTCCCTCTTCCTATTGTGAGTATTATTTTAGGTTATTCTTTTAGGTACCTTATCGGACCTTATTCAAGTAATGTCCGTCTAAATAAGGTCCGATTAGGTAGTTGCGACTTGTAGGATCTGACATAGTTTTTAAGCTTATCCTAACTTCCTAAGTCATATACCCTTATTGGTACAAAAAGATGTCAGACTTTTGGCGGTGTCGTCTGATCAGTTTACCAATTTATATCAGTTTACCCACTTTTGTCCTTGTTAAAATTAATTTTAATATTATTAAATTCTAATAACATGTACCCCCTACAGGTGTTATATCCCAACTCTAGTCTTCTATTTCCTGAACAGTTTAGAAACATTAACTGATTCCAAACTCTCGTTCATTAGCAGTATCCCCGGCCAGAAATCGTTCATCACCTTGTTTTCGGTGAGACCTTCATAAAATCTACATTTTGAATAATTTGAATAATTTGAATAAACTGAAACTAAGATACTCACCAAGTATACTGTGTCCAGTTATTTAATGATTTAAATGATCGAAACAATGCTTGTCATCACAAGTTTTGTAACCATAACTTTGAAAATCAATAAAACATTTTAAAACATTTTAAACCATTTTAAACATTTAATATTAGTAATAAAACATTTCACCAGATCAAGTTCCTTATCCCGACCCTGTACCCGGCACTAGGGCCAGCCCTGCAATTCTGTGGAACGTACCGGCAGAGAGAGCGACAACGTCGAGCCACATCATTCTTCATCAAGATGAGACCCAGCAGGTTAAACAGTACATTTGCCATGTGGAGGAGAGCCACTAGATCTACTCAGGTGATGGGACAGTCCCTGACTATGCCTGACGACCAGCAAAACAGTCCTCAGTTCACCCACACTCCCCTCTGAGAGGCACATTAGCTCTGAGATCCACTGATCGACTGCTCAATTTAATTTCAGAGCGAGGAGAATGGTACAATATGTGTCATATTATGAAACTGGAACAGTGGTTTTCTGCTGGAGTGTAGCCATGCTGGAATATGGGTTGTGTAATTGAAAGAGAGTGGATCGACCATTTGAGTGAAATTAGAACAACTAGAAACTGACGGACTATTTGGTTGAAATAGGATTAGAAATGAATATATATTTGAAGTTTGAGAATGAGGAGATAAGTCTCTTCTACACACCATGCCAGAAACACAATGTGTTGTAGCGTGTGTAAATGAATGAGAGGAAGACAGTTTCAACGGCTATACATGAGATTTGTCTTGAGCACTGGCGGGACTTATATTTATTATGAAGAGTGAGAGTACGAGTATACTGATTACTGATTGATGCTAGAAACTGATGGAAAATCCCGCGTACGTATATCGAGCTCATCTTTTAACCGACTTATTTGTAAATCTAATTTCATCTATCTCATGACTTTATCCAGTCTCAAACCAATACAATTAGTAACTGGATGAGTTCGATACTTCTATAACACTTTGGGGTGTAAGTATAAAGTAGTCAATATTATAGATTGTAGTCTTTGCAGATTTTAAAAAAGTAAGTTGTGGAATATAAATGAAAATGAACATTTTATGACCCTGATGATTTCATTCTATAATGTCAATCAACAAACAATTGAATAATGTATTAACATTGTAAAATTATTGGTTGATAAATTTTAGCTTCCTCGACTATACAATTGACTGTTATCCTAAATATATTTATTATTTGTATTTAATTATTGTATTAAAAAGGGGAATGGCCATCTGATCTCGCGCTCAATCAATGGCTAGATGTCAATGTCAATAGCTAGACTGTTATATTTATGACACATTTATTTACAGTCCGGCCACCTTAAGAACACAACGCCTTAAATTTTTTTGAATAAAACCAAAAATAAAAGATTTTTATTTCAAATAAATATTGATTGATTCGATTTAATGGATTTAATTAAATTATTTATGAAATCCCTTATCAAGAATACTCACTAGATGGTGCAATGACAATTAAATATCAATAATATTTGATGTTTATTCATATTGTATTTGTTATCACTACACTTTTATGTTTGTCGTGTGAAATTGTAGTTTTATTTGAATTTGTTGCAATTACCAGAATTTATTAGTATTTTTTCACTCTGTTCATCAATTGTGCCACATGCCATCTATATTCTATAGTTGACTGAGCAATTGGTCGCTAGAGAAAAATTCAGTCAAAACTGTAATATTTCGGTCCTGGAAATTTCATCTTCAAAAACTGAAAATGGGACAGAGAATGGGACAATATGATTTTTTAATGTTCTTCGGGATTTTTACTTCCAGTACCTCAATTTTTTTGATTTTGACTGACTAATTCGTTGCGGGTTTGTTTGTTTGGGGACCGGCTTTTGGTACACTGGTTAATAATTTCTATAATATTGAAATATTACATTCAAATTAGATAAAGATAGATACCTGCAGTAGGACATTCACATACCAACATTGAAAATATCCAAATATTGAAACGATGTACCGTAGCACACAACACAAAAAGTAAAACTACTGGCAACGTGTCCTCAGAAGAAGAAAACCCTAGATATTCCTAGCCTTGGTGAGACCTGCTTCGCGATTGCTATTCAGCGATGTGTGCTCCACAAGTCATCACATACCTAAGTTACAATCACGGTTGCAGTTTTAAATTCACAAAAAAAGTTCCTCGTTATATTAACAGCAAAAATGAACAAAATATATACGCAGCAATCTTACATGCATTAGGTACTGATACAGAGTGACACCGACACTCAAATCATACAAATACTAATATAGATAACGAAAATACTGTCTGTTACACCTTATCTACAGTGAAAATCCATCCCTAATATAGTGATACGTGGTTGGTTGAGCAGTTATCATTTCCTTCAATTTGACAACATAGTCAATTTAAGGGTGGCACTGTGGTCAGTGACTCGTGTTGGCTTGGAAACCGTTTGACCAGAACCCATGAGAATGAAATCGGTCGAGCGACCGATTTCATTCTCGGTATCATTTTGTATTTGCAGACGATCATTCAAATTAATATCATTTACTTTTGTTTGGGAAAGAGAGACACTGGCATGGCGGTCCACTCTACCAAATTATGGGTTTTGGTCAAATTACGATACTGTAAAAATTATTCCAAAATATTTGATATTTTAAAATGTATAGGCTTTTTACACGAGAAAGTTTCAATTTTTTGTCCTTTTCACACTTACAATGCACAGGAGGCCCACATACAGCTCGACCTTATCGTGCTGCACGGTTAACATTTATTATTCACAGTATACAGGCATATTACAAGTACCGTTGTATCGATATAATGCGGTTAAGATCACTTGTCTGCCACACTCAAGAGCTATGAGGGCAGGAATGTGTTAAGTGTACATGAATCAGTGTAAGGTATTAAGTTATCCTACCTGAGTGCTCTGTGTTTGGTTTATATTGTGATACATCCTCATTGATCTCATGAAACTTTACCTTCAGTGTTTACCGTTTAATCATTCAGTTTCAATTGTTGTCGTTAGTTCATGCTATTCTAGTTTTAATTCAGTTGAGTACGTCTTAGCAGAAAAATAATCATCAATTACTTTCCAGTCCTCAGCTAGTTACAAGTTCCTTAATTTAAAACCTATCGATTTCAACATCAGGGGGGGGGGGGGGCGATAGACAAGTTTAACCGATACATCTTCTACAGGTTCAAAATGGTTCAGCTCCCTAATCCAAGTATGACATTGGCCGGATTTCTTGCCCAAATTTGTTTATCAAAGATCATATACAGAGCGTCAGATGGCGCCTTGAACGATTCAGTAATCTGCAGGAAGGAGGGGATACTGTGGTTTCTGCTGGTCACCATCTCCATTATAGTGGGTTTCATAACGGCCATCAAAAGTAAAGAAAACAAATTGGCTCAGGGACTTCTCACGTTTGTGGGATCTCTCGTACTGAACTTCAGCGGCGACAATCTCGGATACTTGACAGTTTACTGCACCAAACATCATTATTCGAACACCAGGGTCATCTACACATACTGCACCATCCCAATTATGGGACTGGCATCCATTGTTATAATGGCACACATCCTGAAAAAGGTTTGCTCAGTTGCTCTGCCGCGCGAGGCAACTGAAGATAATACCAATCGGCCGGACCCAGAAATTATTCTGTTGGGGGTTTGCTTTCAATACACGGTCAGAAAGATTGTTTACGTTACTCCTGCAAGCAATCAGCATCTTTGCGCCAATAGCGGGTTGGGAAGTTGGCTGGAGCTTTTGGCAGTGTCAGGCATCCTCGTCATCTTCACCTGCATAACAACATCAAAACAATATAGGGCAACTCGGTCATTGCTAACTTTTTTTGGCTCATTCATCATACATCTAACTATCGGTGGTATAGGAAGTAAAGCAATCTCTTGTGCAAGTCCTCCACCAGAAGAAAATCAGGATAACAAAATGTATATAACACGTCAATATGTCACTTTGATCCTCAACGGGATAACTGCCCTTATCCTCATCGTCCTGAATCCACCTCGTCCACAAAACCCTGATCCACCAGCCCAGATTCCACCAGCTCACATTCCTCTAGCCCACATTTCTGGGGTTATTGATGCTCCCCATACTCCTCCCTATCCTGGCCCTCCACCAGCTCCATATACTCCTGCACCTCCCAGCCCTCAACCCCACCCTCGAGCTGCTGCTTACACCTGCCGTCCTGAAGAGCCCGACACATCAAGCGAACAAAACCCTTCTCCCTACTCCTTTTCAAAAGATGACTTGCCTCCTCCTTACTCCAGCCTCCCCGGATCTAGGCTCTAGCCGTTAAGTTCATCAGAAACTTTTATTCACTTTACGCTACTAAATTTATAGATACTGTAAACTGTTATCATGCTGTCATGTACTTCAACGAACACAGATATTTATCATTGTTATTATTATGCAGAATATTGATTCTAATTTATACTAGAGATCCTTTTTGGTGGAGAGCATGCACATGTCATGACGTCATGAAACTTGTTTAGTCATATGAAAATATTCCAGTTCAATGACACCACGATGACTCGCAAGTATAACAATCTGGTGGCCTACATAAGTACATAGTATTGTTATGGACAAAAAAATCTCTCTCTCTCTCTCTCTCTCTCTCTCTCTCTCCCTCTCTCTCTCTCTCTCTCTCTCTCTCTCTCTCTCTCTCTCTCTCTCTCTCTCTCTCTCTCTCTCTCTCTCTCTCTCTCTCTCACTCTCTCTCTCTCTCTCTCTCTCTCTCTCTCTCTCTCTCTCTCTCTCTCTCTCTCTCTCTCTCTCTCTCTCTCTCTCTCTCTCTCTCTCTCTCTCTCTCTCTCTCTCTCTCTCTCTCTCTCTCTCTCTCTCTCTCTCTCTCTCTCTCTCTCTCTCTCTCTCTCTCTCTCTCTCTCTCTCTCTCTCTCTCTCTCTCTCTCTCTCTCTCTCTCTCTCTCTCTCTCTCTTTCTCTCTCTCTCTCTCTCTCTCTCTCTCTCTCTCTCTCTCTCTCTTCTCTCTCTCTCTCTCTCTCTCTCTCTCTCTCTCTCTCTCTCTCTTCTCTCTCTCTCTCTCTCTCTCTCTCTCTCTCTCTCTCTCTCTCTCTCTCTCTCTCTCTCTCTCTCTCTCTCTCTCTCTCTCTCTCTCTCTCTCTCTCTTTCTCTCTCTCTCTCTCTCTCTCGCTGTCCTAAATTTTTCACTCATCAAAATAAAACGTGTTTAATGAAATGAAATCTACATGGTGCACATAATATGTTATTGTTATCATTATGTAAATATGAGTCTATAGTAACACTAACATAATTTTCTTTGTTGCATCACGAGTGTTATGCCGCGAGCTCGATCTTTCGTACTCGCCATTTATTGATTCACACATAAATAATTGTTTATTTACTAACTAATTAAAATAAATCGTTATTATGTGTTTTAACAATTAACTGGGAACGGTTATACGGTTTTAATTTGTATTTCAGCTGAATTATCGGTCAGTTCAACTGTTTCTCCCCCACGCGCGATGTACGAGCTCTAGGATTGGTTGAATTTAGCAGGCACGTAGGCAGGATTTTT